GCAGCCCCTGCACGGCCTGGGAGCATCGGGGACGTGGAGTGGGTGTCGGGGACATGGGGTGGGTGTCGAGGACTCAGGGTCCCACCACGGGCCTGTGGTGGATGAGAGGCCACCAGGATGGGGTCACCTGCTGGGTTTGGCTTGAGGTGTGTGTGAGCATGTGTTCAGGTTGGTGCTGCACGTTCAGGTCTGTAGGGTTACCATTGATTACCACTTGTATAGTCATATATATGTTTTTATATACCTGATAATATATAATGTATATGTAACTAGATGGTAAATTTTGAACCATCCATATCACTTAATTTGTTACATATACCAGTACATATAGTTAGGTAATAACTATGTATATAGCTATATATAGTTTATAAAAGCGTTGTTCATATCTGTAGTATAGAACTAAGGAGCTGTATGTAGTTATGTAGGTGTATGCAGGTACGTGCCCGTGTCTCTGCATTCAGACCCGGCACAGGCGTGCACAGCCGTGCGCGCAGCCCTGAAGCCCGCGGGGACGTGGAGGGGCCTCACGGCGGGTCAGGAAGCCCCCAAAATCCCACCGGGGCTCTGCCTCTGCATCCCCTCCCGCGGTCTTTGAGGAGCCCAAAGGAAACATTGCCTCCAGCGATCCATGAGCACGGCAGTGTGATTCCTCCTGCTGCACTGCTGAGGGACTCCGGGACAGTGACTGAGAGATGCCTGGAGTCACCTGATGAATAAATATCCACAGTGTCACCCTCCCTTTGCTGGTGCATCCCCTCCCCCTTTCCAGGCTGCACTGGGATCTAAGAAATGCTCCTTAGGCATCAACCTTGAGGAGCAGCCCCTGGGCTCAGCTCCTCTGCAGCTCATCAGAAACACCCTCTGCTCCCAGGAACTGCAGCTGTACAACAACCTCCTGGGTTTTATGGACAGCCTTGGAAATTATTTCACTTCCCTGAATGGCACAACATCCCTGTTCTCACACTTGCACTGAAAGTAGCCAGCCCTAAGTGTGGCCAGGTTGAAACGTGGCTGTGACTGAAGCCCATCCCTTGGGGCCCTGTAAACAGTGATCCAAAAGGAGACCCTTGGAGCTCTCCTGGCCTCAGCAGTGAGTGAGTCAGGCCTGTAAGCGGGGTTAAGTCATGAGATGCCATTCCAGCTAAAAGGTGTTCAGTGTTATTCCTTTGCTAAATTGTTATTTTTAAGGTGTATGAGCTTAAATAGCTGGGAGAAGCAGAGACACTGCTCATGGTCCTGTGCAGAAAGGGGCTGTTGTGGGAAAAAAGGCAGCACTGGAGCAGATCTGGAGGTTGACAGAGGGATCCAGAAGGGTCTGGAAGAAGTCGAGGAGGGTCTGGATGCTGCCAATACCAAATGTCCCCACTGAAGAGCAGAAGAGCCCAATAGGTTGTGCTCAGAGCCAGAGAGTGGCCACCAACTGGGAAATCTGTGGGATGGGATGGGATGGGATGGGATGGGATGGGATGGGATGGGATGGGATGGGATGGGGAGTGGAGATGGGGATTGAGGAGTGATACCAAAATCAGCTGCAATAAACTTTCTAACACAAGGGATGGCACAAGGACACTGACCTCTTTATCTCCACAGGACACACAGAAGGATCTCTACTTGTTCTCTGTGTGGTGAGACTTTACAGCAGGGGTCTTATCCGTTATATCCACTCATAGACATTAAAAAGTTTTTCTTATCTAACACATAAACATCATTTTCCTAGAAGTTATTTTCACGTATCATCCTCCTACTGGGAGTCCTTTCATGACCCTGGAGGATCATCCAGAGGGGTCTCTGGTGGTTGTATTCACTGACTGCTGCAATATTAAAGGTGACCTTGCCTTGAGCTTTTCCTTTGCCCATGTGCTCTTGAGTCTTGTTAGAGAACTTGCCCCAAAACCACTGCAGGCCTCCTTTTTTGTTTCACTACTGGCTTCAGCTATGTTTATCATCCTGTGTGCCTGCCATTACATCCTTTTATCTTTTTTGCCACTTGGTCGTTGAGCAACTTCAGGAGAGTAGAAATTGATTATTCTGTATGTTCTTTATCAATGTCCTACCAACCACCCCAACCGTCCCACCTCCCTCTCTCACCCACAATTCCCACCACCCTCCTCCCCTACACATCTCATTTCTCTCCATGGAATCCTTCCCACTGCAGGGAGCTGCTGAGGAGCTGTGTGATCCATCCCGGGATTCTCCAAGCACTGACTGCCATCCACTCTGACCACAGCCAGGGACCACATCCCACTGCCTGCCCAGTGTCCATCCATGGAGGTGACCACCGT